GAAAATAAAAGCATCATACCTCAGCCAAATTGTCCTGTAAACTTCGAAATTCTTGCAGCAAATGTTCAAGCTGTTAAAGAAAGCAGCAAAGTAGGAAACAGATCAAACTCTCCACTTTGCAAGAGAGAATGCCTTGTCAAAAGTATCCATGGCTACACTCATATTACTAACAATAATTTCATCATCACTAGATTTATCTGCACATTTAAGGTTTCAAACATGTCAATCAAACTTCTACATGTACTTGTCTCATTGAAAAGAGTTTCATCAGAATTTTGCATGGTACGCAAAATGAAGAGAACTTAATCTGAAATTAAGTTATAACATCTCTCAGACTCTCGCGTTGGACGTGCAACTGAAAAAAGGATGGCCGATCATAGGGTTTAAAAAGAAAAAGTATCTGAAGATCAATGGTTAATAACACTTTGTTCATAATACCTGGTTATTAATGTACTTTTCTCGACTGGATATTTTCTCCAGTGTTCTGCTGATCTCATGGTGAAGTTTGTCAAGATGGCCCTGAAAAGTACAAACAAAACTAAGCATTGTAACCCTCCCAGGGCTGAACATCACCAGATTGTGCTGAATCAGCATTGCATGAATGACCTGATGGGGGCATGGAACACTTAAGCCATTGGTAAAGCATTCATGACTGGCCCATTACCCACAAGGGGACTATGGTAAAAAGTGAAATGGAAAGCATTCATGAGCATGCTCATGTATATTGTAGGAGAGTGATTTCAAATGTCTTGTTACATGTAATTACATAGTACCCTTGTTTCTGTTAAAGATGACTTGATTCCTTCACTATGCTGTTGCATTTGCTCGTAATGGGTCCTCCAGTCCTACAAGTATACAGTGTTTGTCAATCAACTTATCCTACACTACAGTAGACACACTAACACTGCCAGACAAACCTAATGGTGTATTACTGGCAATAACCAGGGGTTTCACTAACCTTTTCAGCAGGGGGCAAACTAGTTTTTCACAGGCAGGCAAAACATTTTGAGCTGACAGAAGCTCTTTAGAAGAAAAACTTTCCTCTAAATGGTCGAACATGGCAGGCAAAACTGACCTCACAGCCGGTCAATTTGTCTGGTTCCTGGCCCTTGATGAAACCCCTGAAGAACAAGTCTGAGGGCAAAGGAAATGTTGCCTTGATGGAAGTGGTCAAACAGCATAGTCAAACTCTTAAACACCTGTCAAACAGCACTCAGCTTTTGCTGATCTTGAAACACATCTAAAACCATCAGCAGCACCTAATGATGTCCTCAACTTAGTCTGTGAGGTTTTAAACTGCAACCCAAATGCTTCCTTACACTGAAAAGGTACACTTGTCTTCCAGATTTACTTGGATGCTCAAACATCACTTGAAACTTTTCAAAGATGGATTAAAAGGATCAGAAGAAATTCAGTCATTTCGCTTGATTATTTCTAAAGGTATTTTGAAGATATTTACCTTGTTATCAGTTCTTATGTGGACCTTTAACAAAGGCAGAACTCTTTCAACTTCAAGTTTCCATTCAGCTGCATCAGTAGTTGATTCCATTACAGAATCAGGTTTGGATGAATCAACCATTTCCTAAAGGCAAAACAACGATCAATGATCAATCCAGTGACAAATACCTTATAATAACCTCACTCCTAGACCTCCTTCACCTATCTATTTTATGCCAAGTGGCACATAATTCTGGGGTGGGGGTACTCCCAGAAAAATTGGGTGGGGCGGTGCGGCCTACTTCACAAAACCCTTACCCTTTTAAAGACTAAAATCTGTAATTTTCCCTACCCTATTTATTACCTAACCACAAATTTGATACCCTATTTAAGATCTGATCCTTAAATCAATACCCTGCTTCAGATCTGCCATATAATTAGTTCCCTATTCCCTTATCAATGATGAAAAAAGTAGCTTCTTCTGAAAAACATAGTTATGCAAATTGAAGGCCAGAGTGCAAAAACCATAGCCAATTTGAGACCAAACTGGCTAAAATCAAAAATCAGTACCCTAGGTCTGACCAAAACAGCAAAAAACATACCCTTTAAGGCTGCACATGTACCTATATAGCCCAAAGAAGGGAGTATTCCCCGCCCCCCAGGTACATAAGGTCTCCACAATCTGCTAGCAACTGACAAATATCCCCCAGCAGTCAAAACAGGTGGAAAACAGCTTTGAATGAACTTGAATTGCACTGTAGAGCAACTGAAATTCAGAGTACAGTATAGTGTGCAACTAGTGTTTGTCTTGTGTCAAGTTCTGGTTCAAAATAAAGTGACAATAGTTTGGTGTCTGATAGTTGACTGACGCCTTTGTTCCTTCACAAGCTAACAGCCAAAATTAGCCTTTAACTAGAAAAGCAATGGTGTAAACAAAAAAAAAACTATTACATTCATCTGGGACTGTTGCTTCATTCCTGCCAGATCAAGGTAACTGTCATCTTCTTCAATTTCTTCTTCCACCTCATCCTGAAGAGGAGTAAATACATGTAATGAGCAAACAGTAAATAACATCTTCAACAATCAAACTATTGTACAGTAAAATAGGGATGGAACAAGAACCAAAAAAAACATAAAAATTCTCATTAGTGAGCATTGTCGTAATGAACACTTATCTCAGAACTAACAGTAAAATGAGTATCTTAGGTAATTGTACATGAATGCAAGTTCAAGTAAGTAAGTACAAGTAAAATTGCTCAAGCCTTCAGGCCAGTGCAATTTGTAACTTGAAAGAATTTTCAAATATCACACCAGTGTAAACCCTTAATTGTTCAAGCCTTCATACGATTACTCATTTATTGTATGACTGGGAAAATCACAAAAACACATGGCTGCATTTCATCTGCACTACAGTGCACACTGAAAATTAACGATAAATTGGCCAGCTCTCAGCCAATCACAATGAAATAATTTTCTCAGTGAAAAATAAAGACACATACAGCAATCAATTCAGGAGAATCAAAATTCTGATCGTGATGACAGTACTGACCATCATTTCTTCCTCTACTTTGTTCAATGTTAATTCAGCCTCATCATCTTCCATGGTTTCCTCTTCAAAGTCTTCTTGCGCATGTTGCGGCCTTAGATTTCAACCAAAAGGCAACTTTGTTATTAACATCTTTTTTTTTAACTGATAGAGATATTTACTTAGTCTAGTAAATTGAACAAAACAACTTTCACAAAGAATGGATTCTGCAGACGCTTACTTTTGCCAGGCAAATTTTCTGGTTTTCAGAGCCTCATCAGCAAGTTTATCGATCACATAACAAATCTAAAGAAATTGAAATATTAAAATGTAATGTCATAAATTACTGGTAAGTTACAGGTCAGAATGAAAGTAACATAAGCAACCTCTGAGATGCTAATTCCAAATAATTACATAATAATAGAAGGGCATGTTGCAAGAATAGAGCAGTTTTCAGTTGAGTGCCATAAACCAAAACTAAACCAGTTAACTTACCGATTAGACTACCCACCTAATCTCAAACCGCAGTTAAACCAAAACCAAAACCAAAGTAGCTGCCTGTCATTACTTTTGACACTCAGTTGAAAACCACTCTAAAGTGAAGCATGGGTTACTGGTAAGTTGTTATTACTTAATTTGAAATGATTCAATTTTTCATATTCAGATTGAAGGCAATCTGGTAGAATGCTTCAGATCCCAGATCTAGCCTGCACTCCTTATCATACTTTATTCGACAATCAGTGACACCTGTTCTCCTGATCCTGTTTTCAACTTTCCTGGAGGGAAATCTGCCGGTACTCCCTGGAGTAAAACCAAAAAAATTACATATTAAACAAAATCATAATTAAATGCAAATATTTATTGTTACTGTATAGTAAGTTAATCAAATGTACTAGCTAGTCAATGATGCTCACATTTCTAATCTGACTACTACTGATGGCTTTTGGTGGCCTCTTATGAGAAACAAGAAGCATTTTGTTATATAACTTTAGTTATGTACCTTTGTCTTGTTTGAGTATATAATTATTGTGTATTAGTAGACTGGAAGCAGTCTCTCTTTTGCTCTAAAATCTGTGGGGAAGAACAAAAAGTTCAGAGCACACAAGCAAAGACAAGCAGCAGTGTACTCGCTACTCACAGCTTCACTGCACTCACCTCTGCTAGTTTACTTAGTGTTTTGCATTCTTCCACACAGATTTTAGAGCAACTGAGAGACTGCTCACAACCTAGTGTATTAGTTGTTACTGCAGTTAAGCCTCCACTAATGGCCACCTCTAAACAAAAGCCACTTTTTGTGGTCATGGCAGACAGCATGTACATTGCCTCTTAATTAAACCTCTTAACAATGACCACCTCTCCTCAATGGCAAAGGCTACTAAAGTGCATCCCAACTGCCAAACTCACCTCTCAACAATTGTCAGTTAATCAACGACTGACGAGTGGTGTGTACAAATTAAACCACTGTGACATTCTTATTGTAAAAGGTCACCAAACTTGATCTGTACGACATATTGTTGGGACATTCTTAATATATTTTGATTGCTTTAGGTATTTATATGCTAAAAGAAGCTTTTTTAAAACTGCAACAAAAGATTGCATCCCCCCCCAAAAAATGCAGGTGTCATATTACACCCCTACCTCCCCATTATGGCCACCTCTCTACTATGGCAACTTTCCTCTGACCCCAATTGCAACGGTGACCACTGTGAAGAGGTTCGACTGTGCTACTTGTCTTATAGAGGTATAATTTATACAGTTAGTGACTATTTAACTGATCATTCTTCTCGTTCTTACCAGTTTCTTCATCTCATCCAGAATGCTTGACACAGTAGCGTTAGGATCATCATACTATAAAGGAAGAATCAGACTACAGTTATCTCCACAATCCAGTCATCAGTGCATTATTTTTAAGAATCAACTTCTAGCAGCTGAAACAGTAATGCAAAACTCTTTCACTCCCCGG